AAAGTCACAGCTTCAGTCAACAAACATGTATTAAGGACCTGCTGCGTGTCCCACTGGGGATGTGGCAGTAAATAAGAATGGGTATAAAAGGCAGGTAAGAGGTAGATGTACAATGATGCGAATGTATTTAATGGCCCAGAACTGGACACTTAAAATGGTTCAAATGGTAAATGTTATGTCTGACTTTCCATGATTTTAAAAAGGCAGTTAAGGCAAGTAAAAGGCAACGTAACGGGACTAGATCAAGCACGTGGAGTGGAGGAGTGTGAGGGTCTCTGAAAGTGGCCTCTTCCATGCCTGCAGGGGGTCCTTGGGCCCCTCGGTGCAGAGGAACTTGGGAGCCACTGCCCTCACCTTTTGCACTTTAAGGAGCCAGCTGGGGTCTGGGGTCTGCAGCGTGTGACCCAAGGAGGAAGGGGAAGGGCCCATTGCCCTGGGCGGCCAGCACCTTTCTGTCTCCACTCACCAAGCCTCGTCCTGGTGTTCCTCACAGACGGCCCTCCTGAGACGACAGGACCGGTACCAGCGCTCCACCGTGCCCCGCACCGCACAGCAGGACGCCCAGAGCCTATTCGTGACAGAGGTAATGTGCTGCTTCTACACTAACTTGTGTGTTAATTAAGTGATTTTTCTCTAGTGCCTCCTCCCCCTTTAAAAATTTCAGTGGTATTTTCAAGACAGTGTCAGAGAGAGAGAATTAATTACATTTTTATCACAGCCGTTAAAATAGTCAATAGAATAAAGTGTCATTTTCTGAGTCTGAAACGTGGATAGAAATGTCAACAGGGGTCCATTTGATGACAAAACACAAATTTGGCAGAACTTATTTCATAGGCTTAGAATAAAGAGTAACTTGTAAAGGGACACCGGGCAGGCATTGATATTCTTTTCAAGGGAGACTCAGCACATGCATTTATGTATTTGTTGACTTCATTTATATTTTTGTACATGTAACTTTTTATCGAGACTAGTTCAGTATTCACAAAGTGGCAGGTCATAATGAGCATAATAACTATCCCTTGTCAATATATGATTATTATTACTTTTGTTTGATCATACAGGTAATGACTCTCTTGTCAAGGAGAAAAGAGAAATTACTGCATCGCGATTGCCTTCTTTTTCTTTCTTGGGGTTTGTTTCTTCCTCCGGGTGCCTTTAGATGGGATAAATGAATTAGGTGTTTTAACCTTGTTTCTTGAAGTGCTCCTTCATTTAAAAAAAATAGTGAATTTTTATCCCCATTCTTCTAGTTGATGTTTAGAAGCTAACCATGCCATCAATAAATTTGCCTACTACCAGGAAGCTATGCTATTGTAAGTGAAGGCCGATTACAATAACCACATTTAGATTCCATGGATTTTTAAATAATTTTTTTTTTTGGTGTGGGCCATTTTTAAATAGCCTATTTATTTTGGGCTGTGCTGGGTCTTCGTTGCTTGGAGGGCTTTTCTCCCGTTGCAGTGAGCGGGAGCTCCTCTTGGTTGCAGTGGCTTCTCCTGTTGCAGAGAACAGGCTCTAGAGCATGGTTGAAGTTGTGGCCCGCAGGCTTAGTTGCTCCAAGGCACGAGGGATCTTCCTGGATCAGGGATCAAACCGTGTCTCCTGCATTGGCAGGTGGATTCTTCACCACTGAGCCACCAGGGAAGCCCTCCATTGGGATTTTTGAAAAACCGAACATGTGGTTAAATTGTCTGAAGTATGTTCTCTTATCGTTCTGAAAAGGTAACTTCTTGCCTAATCTCCTTTGCCGCTCTGTTATTAACACTGATGCAAGACAAATGCAGTCCGATATGTTTACATCATCTCAAATGTTTATTTTAAAACAGGACACAGGCGAACTGTCCTGTAGCCTGTTTTGGTAAAGAAAGTCACATTGCGGCACAGCCACACCCCTTGCTTACATATGCCTGTGACTGCTTGACGTTACCGCTCAGACGATGGTTGCGGCAGACAGTGTCCCCCTCAGAGCTGAAAACATTCACTATCTCGCCTTCTGCAGGAAACGTTTGTTGATCCTTATTTTAAAGCATATCGTAAAAACTGTTAATTACTAATTCAACTCTCCCAGTTTCTTAAAAAATAGGATTTTTGAAGGGCACCTCTCCATCGAGTTCTTTCATCACTGCAGGCTGAGCAATAGCGACTTCATCCTGTGTGCAGGGGCCAGCACAGTCCCACCCTCTTGGGCCCCTTCCACCAGGGTGGAGTGCCCCAGCACTTCCTCTCCGTCCTCTTCTCCGTGGGAGGAGGACCTAATGGCTTAAAAAAACCCACACACAAAAAACCTTTCACTATAACTTCAAAGTATTATTGAGTTCCAGGAGTTTGAAAGGTCAGTCATGAAACCAGCTAGTCAGATTCCTGCCTCTTTAGAGATAGTTCTCCAGGTACTGGTTTCTGACTGAACCTCTTGTCTTCTGGACTTTCTGCACCCCTAGTCTCGTGGGGGTTGCTTACCTTGTTCCCTATCCTCTGTGCCTTGGAATTCAGCCTGTGCCTGCCATGTGGGCAGTCAACAATGACTTATGAAACAAATGATTCTCTGGCTACTTAACCTGGTTAACTATATTTTTTTCAGTTTATATATATATATATATATTTAATGCTTGCTCCTTAGAAGAAAAGCTATGACAAACCTATACAGCATATTTAAAATGCAGAGACATCACTTTGCCAACAAAGGTCCATATAGTCAAAGCTATGGTTTTTCCAGTAGTCATGTATAGATGTGAGAGTTGGACCATAAAGAAAGCTGAGCACAGAAGAATTGATGCCTTAGAATTGTGGTGCTGGAGAAAATCTTGAGAGTCCCTTGGACTGCAAGGAGATCCAGCCAGTCCATCCTAAAGGAAATCAGTCCTGAATATTCATTGGAAGGACTGATGCTGAAGGTGAAGCTCCGATGTGAGCTTCACAATTTGGTCACCTGATGTGAAGAACTGACTTATTTGAAAAGACTCCGATGCTAGGAAAGGTTGAAGGCAGGAGGAGAAGGGGATGACAGAGGATGAAATGGTTGGATGGCATGATCCACTCAATGGACATGAGTTTGAGCAAACTCTGGGAGATAGTTTGGACGGGGAAGCCTGGCATGCTGTAGTCCAAGGAGTCGCAAAGAGTCAGCCACGACTTAGCGACTGAACACCAAATAGTTTAAAATATGTAAACTGTAATAATCTCTCTTACCCATTTTACCTAAGATATTAAAAATCTGGGCACTCAGGTGTCTGTTCATAAATACACTGATTATGTACAAGTATATACTTATTTGGGCTTCCCTAGTGGCTCAGGCTCAGAGAAGGCACTGGCGCCCACTCCAGGACTCTTGCCTGGGAAATCCCGTGGACGGAGGAGCCTGGTGGGCTGCGGTCCATGAGATCGCTAAGAGTCAGACATGTCTGGGTGACTTCACTTTCACTTTTCACTTTCATGCATTGGAGACGGAAATGGCAGCCCACTCCAGTGTTCTTGCCTGGAGAATCCCAGGTATGGGGCAGCCTGGTGGGCTGCCGTCTGTGGGGTCGCACAGGGTCGGACACGGCTGAAGCGACTCAGCAGCGGCAGCAGTGGCTCCGGGGTAGAGAATCCACCTGCAGTTCAGGAGCCTCAGCAGAGGTGGGTTTGATCCCCGAGTCAGGAAGATCCGCCGGAGGAGGCCGAGGCCACCCACTCCAGTGTTCTTGCCTGGAGAATCCCAGGGACAGAGGAGCCTGGCGGGCTATAGTCCGTGGGGTCGCAAAGAGTAGGACATGACTGAATCGACTTAGCACGCATGCATACCTGAAGAGATCATGGTGTCCCTGTGAACTGGAATCTAAATCTTTCTTCCTAGTTACCTCACACTGTCCCTTATAAATGAAAAGAGATGCTGAGGGCAAATGTATGTAATACTGACTAATGAGCAAGTTGTAATGTGTGTAAATACCATGAAAGAGTCTTTAGGGTCTCACTTTTTATTTACTTTCATGTTCTCATAGAGGCCACATGACTTCTTAGGAACTTACTGGGTTTAAGTCAGAAGGAGCATGTCGTTAAGTAAATGCAGCAAGAGGAGGTGAGGTTTGTCTCCTTGTAACCTCTGTGGCAACCCGCTCCAGTACTCTTGCCTGGAGAATCCCATGGAGGGAGGAGCCTGGTAGGCTACAGTCCATGGGGTCGCAAAGAGTCGGACACAACGGAGCGACTTCACTTTTTAACCTCTGCTCCTGGACCACGAATGATAGTGACTTTAATGACCCCTCTCCCAAGTGTAATGTTTTGGTGGTTCTTAAGCTTCAAGGAACCTCTCTCTGTGGTGGAATTTCAGGCATGAGAGGGTTGAGGGGAAAGAACTATTTTGATGTGTTGGTGTGGGTGTGCATTCATAAGCTTTCCCAAATGTTCTCCAGAAGTCATCACATGTCTTTTTCCTTTTTCTCTTATGCTTTCTATTTTTTCTGCTCCTCCCAATAGTGCATCAAAACTTATAACTCTGACTGGCATCTTGTGAACTATAAATATGAAGATTACTCAGGAGAGTTTCGACAGCTTCCAAAGTGAGTACATGATCCGATTGCACAAGATGGGGTTAAACACACAGAGAAAGGTCTTTGTACTTGAAACACCTAGGGAAGTGAGTAACTTCACCTGCAATCAGAGTGATCAGAGAACATGTTTCTAGATGGTTTGTGTGTATGTGGAGGCTTCCTTGGTAGCTCAGCTGGTAAAGAATCTGCCTGTAATGCTGGAGACCCCGGTTTGATTCCTGGGTCAGGAAGATCCCCTGGAGAAGTCATAGGCTACCCACTCCATTATCCTTGGGCTTTCCAGGTGGCTTAGCTGGTAAAGAGTCTGCCTGCAATGCGGGAGACCTGGGTTTGATCCTGGGTTGGGAAGATCCCCTGGAGAAGGGAGAGGCTACCCACTCCAGTATTCTGGTCTGGAGAATTCCATGGGCTATATAGTCCATGGGGTGGCAAAGAATTGGACATGACTGAGCGACTTTCACTTTCAATACTTTTCACTTTTTGTGTGTATGTGGGTTAGCTGTTGTTTACAGGGAATTTGACCATAGAACTCAAACCTAGTACTATGGGATTGGTAGGTGACAAACTCATGGATGGTTTAATTGTGTTCAGTATCACTCAGGGTACCACTGATAAAACACAAACAGGTGAGTTTTTTTTTTTAAGTGAGAAATAGGAAACAAAATATAAGGGTATTGAACTATGTTGGAGTGTGTTTTATCTTAAAAAGAATATTTTGAAGAAACATGAAAAGCATTTTATATTGAACAAATTTTATGTTTTAAAAAGCATTTTCCCAGACAAATTTCTTCACTTCCTTTAAAGAATTAACTCATTCTGAACTACATCAAAAGCCAGTGTGTTTAGATTGATTAAGGGTGTTTAAAGTAAACCAGGTATAGATAGGTCTTGCCTTGAGAGGAGATCTGTTATAAAATGTTACATCCTGAAATGATACAGTTGGCAAATTTTGGTTTATTATGAAAGTTGAAAGCAAACCGTGATGGATTTTGTGTCAAAAGTAACTGTTACCAATGAAAATTGTACTTGAGACTCTATTAATATATTTTTCTTGGTGTTTGTTGCATCTGTGAGTTTGAACTGTTTTTACTATTCTCAATGGAACTAGCTGTTTGCTTTTTTTCTGTTTGTGTGGTTCAGCCACTCCTTAAGAGTGTTCAGCCAACTTCCCAGTCTTCTCTTTTAAACCTCGGCTGAGAACGCTCCCTTCCAGCATTGTCTTCTCCAGATGGCTCTGCTCCTTGCTTCTGTGTTTACCCAGCGCTCATCTGGGGCCTTGATTCTCCCCATTGGATTGAATTCACCTGTGGTGGGTCCCCCGCCCGCTGAGGAGATGGATGAGGATGGGCCCCCTCTCATGGGCTCAGGCATAGACCTGACTAAGGTGCCAGCTATTCAACAGAGAAGAACGGTGGCATTTCTAAAGCAGTTTGTGGTGCACACTGTACAGTTCCTCAACCGCTTTTCTACAGTTTGTGAGGAGAAACTAACAGACCTTTCTCTTCGTATCCAGCGGATTGAAACAATTCTCAATATTTTAGATGCAAAGTTTTCATCTATCCCGGGCCTAGATGATGTCACATTTGAAGTATCTCCTGTAAATGTCACTAGGATCACAAATGGAACACACTCTGAAGCCACTTCAGAGCAATCACAGCAGAACAGTTTACAAGACTCTGGACCACAGGAAAGTGAAGTAACACCAGAAAAGATCTTAACTGTAGCCAAGGATCCAAGATATGCCAGATATCTCAAAATGGTTCAAGTGGGTGTTCCAGTGATGGCAATAAGAAACAAAATGATATCGGAAGGACTAGACCCAGATCTTCTTGAGAGGCCAGATGCTCCAGTGCCTGATGGTGAAGGTGAAAAAAACACAGAAGAAAGTTCAGATAATGAATCTTCTTTTAGTGACTAAGCTTAATTTTCATAACAATTACATATACATGTGTTAGTGTACCTTTACATTCTATAAGAGAGCCTGAACTGTAATTAGTTATAACGACATCAAGTGGCTACAGATCTGCCACCAAGCTTCCTGTGTTAAAAAAAATAAAGCATTTATTAAAAAAAAAAAAAAAAAAGAATTCACCTGTGGTCACTGATAGGCTTGTTCATGCTGTTCTCATGACTGAAAGTAACAGACTGGGGATATAGTATGTTTACTACGAGATATATGTTGCTGCTGGTGAATTTTACCTCTGAGCATCAATGAGTTGCAATCATGTGGTGAGGAAGAGGAGTTTTTAACAGTGACTTCCTCTGCCCTCTGTAAGCCTCAGTGTCCTCATCCGTTAAGTGGTCTTAGCACCAGTTCCCACCATCTAAAGGACGAAGGGAAGTGCCACATGTGGAGTGCAGCACAGTGCCTAGCATATAATAGCTGGAACTGTTATTGTCCTCTTTTTTATCATTAATACCATCATCATTAAGACTGCTTTGCAGTCATTTCAAAGGCAGTGACCTCATTTAAGCTTCATATTAAAGTTATTCTACCACGTCTTTACTTCTTCGTACACATTACCATTATTATATACCTAACTCCCAGCAAGCTATGCCATTCTGTCTGTATAGCTTTTGGGAGCAATGTCATCAATTGTTTCCATTCTTCAAGTGGGCCAGCTTTGGATTTGTTAAAGGCTTGTTCCTCTGATGTGGGAAGAAATGTAGCATCTCTTCATAGACTAGGTAATTATAAAACAAGTTTCTTTCTTCTTTTTAAAGCAAAATGGCCAAGTTGGATAAACTTCCAGTTCACGTCTATGAAGTGGATGAGGAGGTCGACAAAGATGAGGTAGGATTGCTTGCTTACGGATTTAAAAATTGACTTATTTCACAGTTAGACGATTCATTGGAAAATTACCAACATGTATCCAAAACAGGAATTGGAATGTTTGTTGAAACAGGGGAAGAATTTTTTTTTTTTTAATGTCTTGTTTGATTGAAATAATGGTCTCCGTTTCAACTAAACTGCATAGCATTGCCTATTCCTCTGGTCCTTGTTTATTTGTTCTGAGATCGGTTTCAAAGGCAAGATTTGGCAACATTGTTAAAAATATCAAGATAACTTAGATACCAAGTTTAGGTTGTTTTTCAAGGGCTATTTGACACAAACTGGCAGCCAGTAGGTTTTAAATGGCTGTTTCTTCAGGGAGAGCTTTGAGTGAAGTAAATGGTACCCAGAAGCTCTGATTTTAACAAGCCCACTTTCCCTACTGTTGGAGGATGGATGATGACTAGGCATGCGTGAAGGACGCTGAGCTGGGGCATGAAGGGTACTGTGTGCACCTAGCAAGGAAAACCTAATAAAAAAGGTAGTACTGCCTGTCTCTGCATTTCTTCTTCTCCCCTACTCAGCTCATTGTGGACATTAATGATGTGCACAGCAGCAAAGTATTTCAGAAACCACTTTAGAAATATTCTGGGAAGAGTCAGTGGTCATTCAAAATGAAAAACAAGATATTAAAACCTCAATGTGAATTAATAGTGAGAGGAGGACCGATTGAAATAACACACGTAAGGGCACACAGCAAACTGTAAAATCCTAGGCAGGTGAGTTTTTTCTATTATTACAGATAATAATGGCAGCAGTAAGATCACCAAGAGTAAAATTGAAATGATCTCAGACAAAGTATAAGATGGGTCCTTCTGCATTTATCTACTGGACCGTAGAAGTAGAGATCATAATTAGACTAGTGCTTAGGAAGTGTGAGCTGGGTGGCTGACACTGTGTGATCCTCTCTTCCTAAAGTTCCTACTGAAGTGTGTATTGGGCCCAGCCTTAAAGGGGAAAAGGCATCACTGGGGGTGATCTTAGAGAATGAGGAAGGGGCCCAGGTCAGAGTGTTGTGGAAAGTTTGTGTATTTGTGTGTGTGTGTGTGTATTTCATGTCTGGTTATTGTATGTACAAATGTATACCTGACCTATTTTTCACAGCATCTGGCCACCCCATGCCCTTAAACCCAGATCTGAGAGTTGGGGTCAGAACTTGAAGAAGCAAGTTTTATTCACTTTTCTAGCTGTAGCTCTTCACTTCTCTCCCTGCTGTGTTCTTGCTCTCTTTCCCTCTTTTCTGTTGCCCCAGCATTTTATCTCTCCTTTCTCTATTGCCTCATATTTCCTTCCTTTCGTATTCACCTTTCCCTGAACTAAGCCTCTGGGAAGTTGTCCAGGAATTTGCTTTTGTCTTCCAACTATAGGGGAGTGTAATGGGAAAACATTTTTCATGAAACTGGGCGAGACCTTACAACTTGAGTGGTCAAGTATGGTATGTACTTTCTGTGGCTCATTAAACACTTAAAAATGAAACAACTTGGACTGGAACAAGCTTTGCTTTCTAACAGACTGGAGTTTGCAGAAATTTAAGCTTGTCCCCCTTATTTATTGGTAAGTGAACTTAGTAGGTATGAGTGCCAGACGGTTTCTAGTAAAGGAGTGAGGGGCCACCTGGCATGAATTGAATGGATCTGCCGTCAGTGAAAATGGGAGACTGACTGGCGGTGTCCTTCTCTCCTAGGATGCTGCCTCCCTCGGCTCTCAGAAGGGTGGGATCACCAAGCATGGCTGGCTGTACAAAGGCAACATGAACAGTGCAATAAGTGTGACCATGAGGGTAAGGATGCCCGTCACCCTGCCTTCCCCTGAGTAAGCCCTTTCTGCTGTAGGTCTTGGAATAATGCTCAAGATGAATGGGTGTGCTGTTCTTCCCAACAAAACTGACATTGTCTGGTTAATAAGATGCTTCCCTGGTGATTGGTGATCGACCCTCACTGGTACAGTTTCCACCCCCTCCGCTTGTCACCCTCTGACCACCAGCGTGACAAGTTTATTGGGAGGCTGATATGAAGGTGCAGTCACCATATAGCCTTTCTTTCTCTGTACTGACTACAAAAGGGGTACTTGGTACCTTGTAGAGCATCACCAAGGGGCTACACCTAAGCAATTTTGCTTTCCTGCAACAAAATCAAGAAAAGCGGAAATCAAGGACTAAAGGGAATATGGTTAAGTTGGAAAGGAGGTTGCCAAGAGAAAAGTAAAACTAGTGTAGAAACTATCCAGGAGAGAAGTAGGAGCAGAGAAAGACCAGAATTAATAGTAAAGAGAAGCAATGAAAGGGAGGTGGGATGGGCAGGAGAGATAAAATTAAATCAGGGGAAATGCTGACTGTCATAACCATGAGGCTGAAAAGTCGTTCAGTATCGTGAGGCGGAGAACACTTCCTACTCTGAGCGAGAAACCCTGGGGATTTGAGAAAGTTTCCATCCTTTCCAGCTGCATCCCAAATCAGAACTCACTGCCCCGATTCTGGGTGGTTATGTAAAAATCTCTTGATTTTCTGGGTGAGAAAAATGACCCAGGAATGTTAAGTAAACTAGTCCCCCAGAATTTAAATGCAGGGAAATTATTAGATGCGATGGAGTCTTAACTCACCCAGCTCCCTGGGCACTGGCCAGAATGAGATTTGTTTTGGAGAGAACTGAAATGGTTTTTACGTCAGGGCATCATTGTGAGTTATTGAGAGATACTGTGGCTCTTTTCGTTTTGAAACAATCACTGTGTGTATGTTTTTCTCTCAGTCATTTAAAAGACGATTTTTCCACCTGATTCAACTTGGTGATGGGTCCTACAATTTGAATTTTTATAAAGATGAAAAGATCTCCAAGGAACCAAAAGGATCAATATTTCTCGATTCTTGTATGGGTGTGGTTCAGGTAAATATGAAACAAGCTTTATCATTGAGTGTTCTCATTTATAAAATACTGTCTGTGAATTAAGATTTAAGCAAACACTTCCCAAAATGGTTATATTTGTGGTAGAAATATAATGGTAGATGTAAAAATTGAGTAAAGTTTGTTTTTCATCAGTTTAGAAGACTGTGGGTGGGAGATGGGCAGAATTATGTTGTTGGAGGCCCGAGTGCTCTGGCATATATTTTTCTTCTTAAAACCTGGCTCATCTACTTTTTAACTGTGTGACCTTGGACCAGCTATTGACCGAAGTTTGTTCATATGCAAAATTCAGATAATGAAAATATTTCCTTAATAGGATAAGTAAGTAAAAGGATTGGATGAATTAACTTGGAAATATTCAGAACAGCTCTTAGCATCTCAGTGATGACTTTTATCATTGTAGTACCCATGGCAGAGTAGTATATATTGATCAAAAGATGTGGGTTTCAGGTGCAGACTGAGTTCATATCCCCGTTCTACCACTGACCAGTTCTGTAACCTTGGAGATGTGATTGAACTTCTCTGCACCTCAGTTTCCTCATTTGTTGAAGGGGGATAGTGATAGCAGTGAATGTGGTTATGGAGAGGATAATCAATACACGTAAAGAGCTTAGAACAGTGCTGGCACTTGGTAAGCATTCAGCCAATATTAGGTATTTTTGTTGCCGTAAGTGCTGTTACAGTTGAAGAGTGAATCTTAAACGTCATTTTAATTATACATGATAGGTGGCACTAGTGGTAAAGAACCTGCCTGCCAGTGCAGAAAATGTAAGAGACATGGGTTCAATCCCTGGGTCAGGAAGGTGCCCTGGTGGAGGACATGGAAACCCACTCCAGTATATTTGCCTGGAAAATCCAATGGACAGAGGAGCCTGGTGGGTTACAGTCCATAGGGTCACAGACTGGAGTGACTTAGCACGCATGCAGTACATGAGCATGTTAGTATTATAGAAGATTAGACAGTACAGGTACTGCAGAAGTCCCTCTTGTCCCCCATCTTTCCCTTTCTCAAAGAGCTGCTGTTACCGGTTTGATGTGGCTCCTTCCGTACCTGTGTGGAATTGCCTTTGAAAGCATGTTGGCAGTTTCTCCATCTGCACGTTCACCCGTCCATCCACTTATCCCCTCCCCTCCCATTTCCCAGGAAGATCTAAGGTAGCAATTGACAAGGATACCAAAAACATAGGATATTACACATTTAAAGTGGGTGTGAGAGGTGAACAAGGAGTCAGAGTAGGGAAGAGACAGGGTGGGATTAATTTGAGGAAAAGGCATATATTTTAAAGAACTAACGCCTGCCGTGGGTGGGTGGCACACTGGCTCTGCGCTGTCTAACTC